TCTGGGCTAGAGTTGACCTCTCAATTATGGTCTAATGTGTCCTAGACACTCTGCACACATTCCTCTTCCTTTTGTATTTGGGACAGATCACTTGTCCTGCACTTTGATTGTGACACAACACTAGTTGGCTCCAGTTGGGTGAAGAGTATACCTTGTTCAGGTGTAGTACGGTCTCCCATAGGTGTGTTTGCTCTACATATAGATGGCACACTCCTTGGATGCTCTTCAGATGCTTTTGAAGGGTGCTCATCTAAGTAATTCTACACTGGTCCCTCCATCAGCTCAATGTGGGATTCTAGCTGTAACTCTGAGAAGAGGTAAGTAATCGTATTGGAAGTTAATATTTTCCTGCACTGAAAATATATTTCTGATAGATACTTATCTTCTCCCACACGTCCTTTCCACGTCAGGCGTTGTTTTTCGTGCCTAATCTCAAAGTGAAGATTGGGTTTAACTGCACAGGAGTGAACTATTTTTGGACAGAATTGTCACCAGTGATGAAAAATGGAATCTCTATGCAAATATTAAACATAAAAAAAATGGCTCAGTTCTAGACAAAAACTACTTCCGACACCAAAACCTGGACTTCATCCGCAGAATGTGATGCTTTGCATTTAGTGGGGACATCAAAGGAGCAATTCATTTTAAACTCCTCAATCCACAGTGAACTGTCAATGCACAGATCTATATTCAGCAATCATTTAAATCAAGCCCTTCATCAGAAATGCCCTACACTTGTCAATTGGAAAGGTGTTCTTCTTTTCTATGACAATGCACGTTCACATGTGGCACGTATGACGCAACACAAGATTATGGAGTTGAGTTGGGAAGTTCTCCCCCATCCACCATATTCTCCAGATATGGCACCATCTTTTTCATTTACTGCAACACCATCTTAATGGGAAAATGTATGCATATGTGGAAAGTGCTAAAGAGGACATTGACATGTTTTTTTGCTTCAAAACTAAGTGATTTCTTTTATCAGGGCATTAACAACATGATTGTAAGAAGGAAAAGCATCATTGATAAGAATGGAG